ACAGGTGCTTTTTAGGTGACATAAAAACCTTGATGTTTACATGTTTCACACATTGCTTGCCATATATGGAGAGCCATTTCATCCAAAATGATGTCAATACATAAATAATTCATATAAATAATTTGATAATAAATATTCCAGAAATTATTCCTTTATATAAAAAAATATATTCAAAAATACATTTTAAGCTAATTTTAATATTAACATATTAATGTTGCTTCATGATTAGTTGTTATTGAGATTTATCTATTTCTATACCAAGATGTTTTCTTTTAATTACTTTAATAATTATGATTTTAAGATTAATTTATTTTGAAACATACTTAAATTTATAAACATTTCAAAATGTATGTATTTATTCATAATATTTCCAGATTTGAATATTTATTAAATATGATATATTGAATAAAAATAGACTGAAAATTAAAGTCAAATGATCAGAATATATTTACAAAATAAAAGTGTCATAAAATAAAACACAATTAGGAAATTAATTAAAAATTAATTTGTTAATACATATATTTCTTAATAACTAAATTATAGATAAATAAATCTGAAGGTAAATAAATGAATAACCAAATAACACAATGAGCTAAGATATATTTTTTATTTTGTTTTTTCATGGGTATATTTTATTTATTTATTGAATATGTATTATTAACCCATTTATAACAGTATTTAGTTATTTATATATTCTTGAATAAAACAGCTGTCTATATTTGTAAACTTAATAGGACCAGTTTAATTTCTATTGAATACTTTAGAGGACACGTAGAAACAACAGAGCTTTTAATAAATATTAATTCATAAACATATATACCTGCTCTTCCACTGTTTAAGTTTTGTCCCTATAGGTTTTTTATATGCTTAAAAATGTCTTTAGAAAGTAGGATTTTTTTTTCATTATTCAGAATGAGCTCTTCCAGCTTTATTTAAAAAAAATACCACTAATTTATGATAACAAATGCGCTTAATCATCGCAACCCCAACCCCTTTACGGGGGAACAGAAGACCTCGCCTATTCATCCAGAGCAACAATTCCCTTTAACGACCCCCTTTCAGAGACATAGACAGGTATGGGGCATCCACTTGACTTTGTTTCCAAGTTTGAAGACGTTTCTCTTCCATCCAGGAAGCTTTTTCAGTTCAAAATGTCAGAAATAGCGTTGAGTTACAGGCTTTTATAGAGTGGACCAAAAACAAAGCCTTGTTTTGGCTTAGAAAAGATGCAAATTAAACCTGACGAACGGCTCCGCCCCTTTTGGAATACGGTCCTTGCGTTTCTTTGTTAGCCTGTAATACCCAAAGCCTGTCTATGTCAAACTTTGCTAACGCTAATAAAACGTTTTGCATTTTTGCGCATATATTTTTACTGTAACGAGAATTTACAAACATGCCATATATTAGCAAATATAAAAAATGCTTTGATGATATTTGGGTTGGTGTATTTTCTAATATTTGAGTTAGCACAGTCGCTATTGCTAGTCAAAGCTTTCTATACATTAGCTAACGATAATTAGCATGAGCAAATGTCTCAGAAAGGGGGTTGTTAAAGGGAATTGTTGGCCTGGCTGAAGAGGCGAGGGGCTCTGTTCTCCTGTTATGGGTGTTAGGTGTATTCAATGATGATTATAAAAATGAATGTATGTACATATAAAACATTGGAGAAATGAGACGCTTCACTTTGTCTTATGATTCAATCAGGAGACCACTCTATCTTGTGATTCAGTCAGTGGAGCATCCTGTCTTATGGCCTGATCAGTTGTCCTTTCAGAACAATACTCTGTTTTGTAACCATGTGTTATGTTCAGTTAATAAAAGCGCTCTGCAGAGGAGGTCCGGGGGAGAGACAGTTGGAGTGTTGGGTTCGGCTCTTTCCCCTCCTGCAGGAAGCTGTTGTTGAAAATCTCTTACTGTGTATTCCGTCCTTCTTTTACGAACCTACATTTTTGAACCTAACAATGGGGTGCGATGATAGCGGTAAGAATCAACAATTCAGCGATTGAGTTCATTCCTTCCTGTTATCATCATAACCCCCCAACTCATTACTACAACACCCCTTTTCAGAGACATAGACAGGTATTGGGCATCGCAGGCTAACAAAGAAGCCAAACGACCCCCATTCCAAAGGGATGGACCCGTTCATCCGTTTCAATTTGCATGTTTTCTAAACTAAAACCAGGCTTTGTTGGGCTGCTGGATAAAACCTGGAACTCAACGCTATTTCTGACATTTTGAATTAAAAAAGCTTCCTGGATGGAAGAGAAACGTCTTCAGACTTGGAAACAAAGTCCAGTGGATTGATTTTTAACTTTTCTGGTATAAAAAAAAAAATTGCTTTCCTTCTATACAGCAAAGTCAAACTTTGCTAACGCTAATGAAACGTTTTGCATTTTTGCGCATATATTTTT